CACGGGGACAAGTTACCAATATTAATTCGGGCGCACAAGACCTGCTCCCAAGCCCGCTGACACAACCCAGACGCTCACGCTCGCTTCATCCAAGCCCTAATGCAAATGCTGCTAATTCTTCAAGGTACGACTTTTATCCAGGCATTAGTTTGGGAGCTGAAATATTTCTCCCTTGCAATAAAGCATGAGTATAAATATTACTTACAAATCCATGCAGTGGCTCTGGGATCACAAAGGAGCAGTCAGGTGGCCAGCTGCTACAACACACGACCATGTAATTCCGTGAAAAACAAGCAAAATATTTTTTTTGCAACCACCAACACTCCTCCCCAGAGCTCAAATGAAAACCTTAGTGGAAAAAGAAGTCAAACTGAGCTGCAGTTTGCTGAATTTGTTTGCAGACCAAAACAGCGTGCTCAAGAAGGAAATTATTTAATTGCCAAGGCACACAACCAGTTGTCTCATATTTTCCAATCTGCTCCGTAATAAAATGGACTTGCAGAGAAGTGCTGGGCTCTTGCACCGCTCACAACTTTGCACTTGCCCTCTTCTTCCAAAGTGACCACCCTCTTGCCAGGCAGAAGCTGCTCCCATCCCACGGTGCTCCTTACCCTGCCATCCCTTGCAGCAGGGTTAGGCAGCGCAGCAGCCCGCAGGGAAGCCCGTCCCTGCTGCAAGTCCCGAGGGCTCCGTGTCCCACGTCAGCCTCCGCAGGAGCAGAACTGCCATGTCTGATATCCCTCTCCGGTCTCCTCTCCCAGGCCACGAAGGAGCAGGAAGGCACAGACGGGCCATGGGGCAGGATGGGCTGTACCTGGGGAACAGGCGGCATGGGCAGACGTGGCCTCTTGCTGCTTTGTCCTTTTCTTTTCCTCCTCACCCTTTCACTCTGTAATTCCACATTTCCTGCCTACCACTTCTCCCACCTCAGCTCAGTTGGCGGATGCCCATCCACTTTTCCTCCCCCCACGTCTGAAAAAGCTTTTCCAGAAACCAAAATATTTTAGCTGCTGCTGACAAGAGAAGCTGGTTTTGCCAATATTTTTTCTTTTGTTTAGTTCACTCTTCTTCTTAATCTGCCCGTTTTGCTTTGTTTGCCTATTTTCCTCTGTGTATTCTTCCCTCTTTCTCTCTCCTCCTTTCAAAACTGTACTTCTTTATCTCCCCTTTTCCTTCACTGTACTTCCTTGCTTCCATTATTTATGCTGCCTCTCCCCTGGGATATCTTATTTCCTCGCTTTTCCTGCATTTTCCTTCTCTCCCAGCTTCACTTTCCTCCCTCTCCTCTGCCCTCAGCCGCCTGATTTAGCTGTAGAGCCCTCTCATTGCTGCTGTGCCTTCGAATCCTGCAAGGAGCCGACCAGCCCCAGGCCCTGTCGAGCTGGGTACGAGCTGCAAGTGCTCTGCAACTGATGATGATGATGAACCAAGCTGCTGCTGAGCATCCCCAGCCCGCAACAAGGGGCCTCTTCCCACCTTTCTGCGGCCGCCTGACGCACACCCAACCACCTGCCCAGACTACAGGCAAGCACAACTGTACGACTGTCACAACACGCTGTAGAAAGGTAACAATCTTTCTGTGAAACATTGGTAACAAGCCCCGTACGTTCATTTTTTCCCCCTGTAGTCTCTATGTCTATCACTGTGTTATCTACCAGCACAAACCAAACACAAATTACAAACTTGGAGTTTTAAACCATTTTAACCGTTGCTAGTCGACATGGAAGCAACRATTCTGACCACCAAATTCATTTTTAAAAGTCATTTTTTTTTTTCCAGCAACTCAGTAATGCTCTAATCCAGAATTTTCCTAAAACTGGGAAAGGACTATGTGTGTTATATTTATTAAGTYTGGTAATACAGCAGAGATGCTTTGAGCAAACAAATGCTGTAGTAAAATCCTGAGAGTCAAAAATAACAACTAGAAAATAAACATTCTTTTTTACCTAAGCACTTTTTTTTTTCCCTAAGAATTACAGAAAACATGAAATAGAGTTATCTGTGTGTGTGTCTCTCTGGGATGTCAAAATCATTTAAGCCGGAGCTACGGGATCACTGTAATGGGCCCAATACAATCTGTGCTGAAAGCAACTGTATTTTTTCTCATGTCAAAACTGGTAACACTTTGAGAAACCTTTTTAGCAAGACTGAGGCCTATTTTAGGTGAAAATCACAGAAAACAGAAAGTTCCAGTGTAAACCTGAAAAGGGGATCAAAGTCTAAAGAATTACTAACTCGCTTTGAGTTAAGCACCTGATTAAATGCTAGACAGAGCTGAAACAGCCCCCTCCCATGCTAAAGTCCCCAGTGGAAGAAGGCATGGCAGGGTTCACAACTTGTGAATGTGACTCCTCAACTTTCTAAAAATTATCATTTAGCTGCAGTGCTTTAAAAATAATTTTACAAAAATGAATGAGGGGGTTCAAGCGTTTACTCTCCCAGGAGGAAAGAAAATATCTGTTCTCCCTGCAGGTAAAATCTGTCTTCTCTTTTTTCCAGGGTTCAGACAAGGCAGCACAACAGTCAAAGCAGATCCCTCGCAGATCAAAGATCACTAATTTGCATCTGTAAAAAGAACTTTATAAATTACTCTGTTCATGTTGCCCAGGGCAGATTAGGGTCCAAATTGTTTCTAACGATTTACAGCAGTCCTTGAACCCCTAAAACAGCAGAAACTCCTACTGGTCAGAAAAGTGAGCAGAGGTTATCGAGAACACAAAGAAAGAGCTTAGAAACGAAAACACTTCTATCTTTACAATTATATTCCAGAACAGAATGACAATACTTGAAGCTTCCTGATATATATTCATCTGTTTAAAAAAAATACAAGTAGATCAAATCCAAGAGTATTCCAAAGTGATAGCGAATATGTGAATACCAAAGTAGGTGCTTTTTTAAGTAGCAAGATAGAAAAATAAAGTTATTGGCAAGTTCTGAGTATGATTTTCTTCACTATGCAATAAGCAGGTGACTGTGCTGCTGCACTGCTTGTATCTGCCACTAATGTGTATTATTCTGATTAAGTGAAACAATTAATCTCTTGCTACAGGTGGTATGGATCTTCTAGGAGAGATGTGTGCTAAACCTTTCCTGAAGTTCTACATTATCAAGGTCATAACTGCTCACCAAACAAGCAGGGAAGTTTTAAAGTCCTTCTCTGTGTAAYAATTATTATCTATTTGCATTGACAAAATTATCCAACTACTTGAAAGATTTCCTTCTCCAAACTAATAACTTGCTAGTGCTTGCTGATATTTTTCCTTTAACTAAAATATTACTCCATGTCAACCTGTCAAGATTATAATTTTAAAGAAACTAAGGGGAACAGGCAAAACAAGCCTGGAGATCTCTATTGTTTGCAGTATGTTTCTTTTGTTTCTTTTTTCCTGTTCACAAAGACCTTTGTGCATTTAGGCAGCCCGATGAAACCAGAAAATGTTGAAGACTTGAAGATAGAGCTTAGGACCTGCTGACTTGAGCCACACCAGAAACTCAACGCAGRGAAGCTAGTTACAACAGCCTCACTAAACACACACTGAAGTTGAGTAGGTGACCGTGTGTGTTTGCATCTATTACTGCTAAGTCCAAGGTCTCTGAAATGCTATTATCTGCACCTAGCTGCAGACCTATGACAGCAATAAATATGGGCTTTGGGGCCTCCCAGCAGCAACGGTGCAAGCACAACTTTGATTCCCATCTAGGTCTACCGAAAGCCCAGTCCTTTTGTGCAGCCTCCTGTGGCCAGCAAAAGGCAGCCTCCAGCAGCCCGAGTATCAGATTCTCGCAGCATCCATGCCACTCGTAAGCGCTCAGTGGTCACAACACCACTACACATCCTTCAAATGACACGGCCCAGTGAAGCTGGACGGGATGGCCGCTGAGGCGGGCGCCTCGCGACCCGCCGGGACGCGGCCCCGGCGCCGYGCGCAGCCTCCCCGCCGCGCTGGCGGAGGGAGGGAGGGAAGGAGGGAGAGCAGGCGCCTTTCGCGGTCTCAGAGGCAACAGTTTTGACTAGTGAGATGTAGAGGATACACAGCAGCCCTGGCAGCAGCGCCTCGCAAACACTTCCCACCGCACAGGGCTTGTGTTCCTTCCCCTTTAGGGCTAAAGGGTGAGAACCTGCTTAGGCAGGAAGGCAATAGGTACAGCACGAAACACTAACAGAGCGAGCTACCTAGGGGCGATAAAAGAAGTTAAATCATCAGGGCACCCATTACTATTAAGATGCAAAGAATTCGCTGTATTAATACTCATGGAGCACATATTATCCAAAAAATTAAAGTGCTAGCCTGTCTTGCTATTGTTAGTCATTAATAATGACTAACCTACTGGTTAAAAGGCAGAATAATATATTCTAAGTGTACTTTGATTTTGCACTGCTGCATCACTGTATTTGGAGGATAGTATTATCTTCCCATTTTTGAAAAAAAAAAAAGTATAAATACATTTTAAAGGGGAAAAAATAAATGTCCTCCTCGTTTAGGGTGTCTTTACTATCCATTAAGCTATACACTGGGCTTCTAGTTCCTAAAACCAACCTTATATTGTCAGTCTTTGACATTCATTACCTTATTAAATGAAAATAACTGACATGTCATAGATATGAACACTAGGAAGTCACAAGTTTCCGTGCCCAGTCCGGACAATTTATCTCAACACCAGAGCTATGAGGACGCGTGCGAATAACACAATTATTTGCAAATGTAATTAAGCAGACTTGGATATTATGGCTTGAAATGCCCCGAAGGTGCAACTTATCAAGGTGCAACTTATCAAGGGGGGGGAAAGGCCTGCACTGGCTGATGAGAAGGGGCTCAAACCGTGGGGCTCAGCCCCGACGCCGCGCGCGGCTGCACAAACCCAGCGCCTCCCGGGGGCCGCCGGCAGCGAGTCCCGTGTCCCCGTGTCCCCCGCCCCGGGCTCAGCGTGCAGGGGGCGGCAGGGAGGGCACCCGAAGCCCGCGGGCGCCCACGGGGGCCCCGCGCCCCGTCGCGCCTCACCGGCTGGCCAGGCTCTGGCGGCAGTGCTGCCTGAAGGGCATCAGGTGGTAGTTCATGGCGTCCAGCAGCAGCTTCTGGCACACGGGGTCGGTGCGCATGAAATCCACGGACTGCACGCGCTCCACCAGCTCCGGCGCCGGGATGAGGGCGAAGCGGAGGCGCTTCATGAGGTCCGGGGCGTACTGCATGCGGGTCTCGCGGTCGTGCTCCAGCCACAGCACGGACATCTGGAAGAGCGCCAGCTCCGACTCCACGGGCGGCGGCAGCGAGTCGAGCAGGGCGCGCATCTCCTCGAAGTTGAGCAGCAGCACGTCCTCCACCAGGTACTTGTTGGCCAGCTTCTTGGTCTCCTCGAGGCCGTGCAGCGCGGCGATCTTGCACACCTGCTTGTAGTTCTGCACCGAGATCTGGTCGTTGAGGAACTGCACGCACAGCTTGGTGACCTGCGGGATGTGCAGGATCTTGCTGACCGAGAGCACCTCCTCCACCGTGTCCAGGGAGAGCGTCACGTTGGCCGTGTACAGGTACTCGAGCACGAGGCGCAGCCCGATGGACGAGCAGCCCTGCAGCACCAGGTTGTTGATGGCCCGCGGGCTGGCCAGCAGCTTGTCCTCGGGCGACGAGGACGGCGTGCCGGGCTCCTCGGGAGGCTGCGGCTGCGGCTCTTTGGGGGGCCCCCCCAGGCCGTCCTGGGCGCCGGGCCCCAGGCCCAGGGCGTGCGGGGGGCCGCTGCCGCCGCTGGAGAAGAGGGATCGGAAGTACTGGGAGCAGGAGGCCAGCACGGCCTTGTGGCAGTGGAACTGCTGGCCCTGGGCYGTCAGGGTCACGTCGCAGAAGAGCTGCTTCCTCCAGAGCAGGTTGAGGCCGTGCAGCAGGTTGTCGCTGTGGCTGGGGTCGAAGGTGGAGGTCCTGTCCCCGGATCTGGACATGGCGAGCGGCCTCCAACACACCTGCCTTTTAAACCCTCCTCCAACCTGGGCAAAGAGGTGGGTGGAGGGAGGGTGGGGAGGGGGACGACACGACAACAAGCGCAGAGTTTAGAGGCCCCCGAGGGCTCCTCGGGAGCGCGTGGCCAGGGCGGGAGGCAGCGGCGCCCCTCGCCCGGCCCCCCCGCGCCCGCGGGGCTCCTCGCCGCCCCGCGCACCCACGGGCTCGCTGCGCGGGGCCGCCGCTTGCCCGCGCGGGAGGATATTTAGTTTTCCCGTGGCCTCCCCCCGCGGCAGCCGCCCCCCCCGCCCCCCGCACACACCACCCCGGCCTCCTCCCTCCGCGCCGCAAATGGGGCTGCTCGCCAGGGGAGGAGCGAGCAGGCGGGGGCCGTGCCCAAAGCGCGGCCACCCCCTCGCCCGCCGCCCCGAGACACSCAGGCCATCAAACGGGCGAAAAACAATGTATATATATACACATATATGTATTCATAATGCCCGAGCCCACCCCAAACTCTGCGATGCCCGGAGAAACTAGGAAGTGACTRAAACTCCGTGTGCGAGGGGAAGCAGCCGGCCCTGCCCGCGCCCCCCGCTCCTCTCGTCGCTCTCGCAACTCTGCGGCGCCGGAGCCGCTTCCCCCGGCCGCGTGTCCGGGAGGGGGACGCGGCCCCAAGAGGGGCCATTCCCCCCCGCCCCATCGCCCCGGCCGGGGGGCTCCGCAAGACTGGGCAGCCCGCAAGAGCAGGGGGAAGCGGCAGCCCCCAGGCCCGGCGAGGGGCAGCCCGCTCTCGTCCTGCCCGCCTCGCGCCTGCTCCGGGCGGAAGGCGCCGCTGCCCCAACTCCGGTAACTGCGGGAAGTTCAAGTTGGGGGAAGGACGGGGGGGAGAAAAGGGGGAGCCGGCGGGGAGCAGGGCCTCGCTCCCCCCCACCCCCCCGCCGCCTTCCTCCCTTCCTCCTCCTCGTGCTGCCTCAGTCGCGGCGGCACCTGCGGGGGGAGCCGAGCCGGGCCCGCCGCCCCCGCGCTCCGGCCACTGCGGCGCGACCCGGCAGCGGTACCGGCACCGGTGCCGGCACCGACATCTCCCGCCGCCTCTCCCTTTAAGTGGCCCCGGTCAGTGGCCGCCGCCTCCCCACGGCGCGCACACACACACACACACACRSACACGGACACACTCTCCTCCTCTTCCTCCCTCCCCTTCTTTCTTCCCCGTTTTGCCCGTTTCTCGCAATCGGGAGTTTATTCCGCAAACGCGTTTGTTACACAACTGCCCCCCCGCCAGCCGCTGCCCCCCGCGCACCCACGCACATGCCCACGCACGTATAGCCCCACGCGTGCACACTCAGCCCTCCAGCCCGCTGCGCTCCCCCAGCAGCAAACAAACCAGGAGGCGCAAGGAAATAACGCGGAGAGGGGTAGACACAAGGCCAGAAACTTACCTGCTCCACAACCGGCTGCCAAAGTAAAGGTTCACTTGAGCTCCCCCCCCCCAAAAAAAAAAATCAATTGTCCTTCCTTTTTAAAGGTTTGCTGGCTCCTCCAAAAAAAAAAAAAAAAAAAAAAAAAAGAGAAAAGAAAGAAAAAGAAGAAAAAAAACCCTTCTGGTTCCCAACTCCGTGCAGTCACTCTTTACAATTTATTTTGTCGTACATCATTTGATCACCATGAATTAGCAACAGCAAGAAAATGTACGAGAGAGAGAAGGGGAGAGAGAGAAAGAGAGAGAGAGCGCAGAGCTTTCTGCAAGAGAAGAAGAAGAAAAAATGTACGTGTGACAAATTATGCTACCAAGAAACAACACATCATTATCCTTGGGCCTGGGGCTCAGTGAGTCGTAACGAGAGTAATAGGAAATCCACGGTTGGGGAGAGAAACGGTCGTGCATGGCCGGTGGAGAGCGACCATACAGAGGGATGGATGCTGGAGAGACTCGCAAAATTATGGCTCAAGGCTATTGTAAAAATTGTCGAGCGTAAATGACTGCGATTTCAAACATCTTTGGAAGAAAGAAGGGGAAAAAGCAGGGCCCCCCCCCTCCTCTCCGCCTGCCTCCCTCCCGCTCTCCCTCGCTCTTCTCTCTCTCTATAAAGAACCGTCAAGTTTTAGTGCGCATTGCTAATTAGTCAATTTCTCTCTGCCTTCACAGGCTGGCGACTTTGCTGCTGAGCTGAAACTGCTAATTTCTGTGACCAGCTTTTTTCTTAGCTGTGATCTGGATGAATGAGTAGCTGTCTCGCAGAGATGACAAAAATAAACTCTAATCCCCCCCAAAATTTCCACTACATCTTTCTCATGCATAGATTTATGATCTTCAAGCGCCCTGTGCAATATGCAAACTTTTTTTTTTCTTTTTTTTTTTTTTTTTTTTTTTGGGGCTGGTGTGTTGGAGGGGCGCAGGCTGCGGGATTCGGGTTGCGCTGGATGTGGTTTCTGCTGCACCCCACACGTGATGGAAATAATGTCTGATTTCAGTACCCGGTATATTGTGGTCCCCCGTTCTCCCCTCAGCCTCCTCGTTGTATTTATATCATTGCTTTGACAAGATACAGCCTATTCCCTTGCAAATGTGCTGAGGCTGGAGGGGTGGAGAGGAGAGAAAGAAAGTGAGGCTCCTGAATGGTGGTAGTGGTGAAACGTTCCCTTTACATTTGTTCCCCTGCACTGTGCAAGATTTATGATCTTGTTTGAAGGCATATTTTCTCTATCGTTTTGTCTGGTTAGACAACCGTCTCTGAACTTCACTGTCAGCTCTTCAACAGATAAGGGTTCAGAAGTCACAATTTTTTTTTTTTTATTGGAAGATTAGCATATTGTCAGATTTGTCTTTCAGTTTCGACACTTTGCATTGCAGAAGCCTGAATGAAATGGCAGGAAAGCAGCTGCTATTTCACAAAAGCAACCTTTCAACTTTCTGCCAGATCGGATACCTTAGAAACGTGCACAGCCCGTGGCTTGGGCTTTTCTTTTGTTGCTGTTTTTATTTTTTGCTCCCCTGCAGTCCTAAGAGGCGGTGGGGAATTCTCATTGCAGCATTTGGGGCTCTGCCTCTCTTCCAAGGGGTGGTTTGGTAGAGGGCATGTTCTCCACACTTTGTCTCTTGATATATGGTGGCACCCTTGCTTTTATAGCTCTGTGCTCCTGTTGTCAAACCTCCAGTTGTCAAAAAAATTAAAAAAAAAAAAAGGCAGGCAGATGCCCTTGAATGAAATGCACATGAAAGGAGGGAGCACTTAAGGAAAGTTTTACCTAGAGTGAAACCCATTAGCCCCATCCCATCTCCCAGATAATACTAGGGCTTTTGTTATTAAAATACGCACCGGGAGTGTTGCTTTGAAAGCCCAGATCTTTGGTCTTTCTCTTTGACTTGGTCAAGGATGCCAAGGTATTTACAAAGTTGTTGTCAGATTGCTGGGGAATGCAAAGGACGGAAATGGAAAGGCATTAAAGCCATTCTCACTTTTATTTATTTTTCTGGTGACCTTAAAAGAGACCTTCTGCTGTAGTTCTCAATTTTTCTCACCGGGACAGATTCATTCCTTTRGATTCCCTCCTCCTTTGTACCTCAATTACTTCTACAAGAGATTTCCAGCAGAAAGGAGACAGCTGCTGTTCTAGGGTACAACATTCCTCCCTGAAGCGCGACGTTGTCAGATGCTTCTTCTAAAGCCATTTTCTTTCTCTTATTCCTGTTGCGTCTTCCCTTCCTCCCAGTTCTGGCCCGCTGGTCTCCACGTTTTGGCCCTGTTCAGGTGAGGAGAATCATGAATGGCAGGATGCCTCCATTGCAGCCACAGCTACTGTTTTCAGTGGTGCGAGGTGTCTCCCAACTGTAGGAGATGGGAAGAGCAGTTTTTATATCATGCTCGTGCTGTTGAACCTTACTGCAGTAATGGCTGTAAATAATCCTCAAGGGGGGTTGTATCATTTTTCACTGACTGATGTGTCACACACTCTTATACCACTGTAAGCTGCCAAAACATGTCTGTGACAGCATGTAGCAAGTTTTTGGGACCAGCATACAGGGATGTTTTGCTTGTTAGCGAAAAGACCTGGTTATATTGTATTTAACTTTTCTACACTAACTCGCATTAAAGTGCATTCTTAGTGATGTTTATGATTGCATTTAAATGAATTACCAATTTTTAGCTTTAAGCAATTAAACTTTTTGAATGAAATCACATTGGACGAGCTTTTCCAAAAGTCCTAGGTATACGAGTTTGTAATCTCCTGAGTAATTTGAAGAGGGAATTCAAAGTTGTTAATTCACTTGGGACCTTTTTTAAAATTATGCTCATTTTTCCTGCAGAGTACACGCTTAACGTTCATCTCTTAGAGGTGGCAATTGTCAGTAAAGAATACTGTTTGTTTTCATTTTTCAGTGTTTTTTTCTAGACCTACACCAAATAAAACTATTTTTTTTCCTATGGAGCAAAGCTAGTAATACCTATCCTGTAGTAAAAGCAGGGGACTTTGTATCTCTAGCTTACAATCTAAGCACACCACAGTCTCTGAGGAAACTTAGGAGGATCAAAAGTATCTCCCACAGGCACTGACCAGTCGTGAGCTTTCTCTGGTAGCCGGAGAACCCTGTCCCTAAGCCGGATTCCGCAGAAGGGAGGGCAGTGCCCCACGCCTCCATCTTCTCATGGCCAGAGATGAGGAGCTGTTGTGTTTTCACTTGTCTTCCTTTGGCTCATCTGGTTTCTTCTGTGGAGCCTCCACTGAGCCATTATGGACGTGCCATTATAGACACTTGTAGCAAAGAGGTCAATGCCACAAAAAGAAGYGAGGCCTGTCTTGCAATTAAAGGAAGGGGCCCTCCTGCAGAGGAGTCTTCTTCAAGAAAATCTAAGGTATTGTCTTAGAAAAACCCAGTGAACAAATTCAGTAGCTAAGCAAAGTAAATAGTTTTTAATAAGAATAATTATATTTAAAAAAGAGAAATTCTGAATCCCTCTGTAATATCAGTGTCTGTAATATGAAACATATCTCTATAAAACTC